TCGCCAGCCTGGTCACCCCTAACTGCCGCCCCCCCACCCCCGCCAGCCTGGTCACCCCCAACTGCCTCCCCTGCTGGCCTGGTCGCCCCTAACTGCCCCCCCTGCTGGCCTGGTCGCCCCCACTGCCTACCCCCTGCTGGTCTGGTTGCCCCACGCAGCCTGCTGTTTAGTCATTTGGTCATCCCTCACTTAACCCCCCTGCCGGCCTGGTCATAGGCAGCTATCTTGTGAGGGCGTGAGGGTTAATTTGCATCTTACCTCTTTATTATATAGGAATATTAATAAACTAGCTAATCATGGGAGTTGAAACTAGCTTGACTGGGAGTTTAAAAGGTGGAATGGTAGAATGCAATATGGGTAAGAGGAGGCAAAGAGAGCCTGGGGTGGGGGACAAAGGTTTGGAACTGAGGGACCCCTGGGAGTGAGTGTTCTCAGAGAGGGTAGGGTTGGACCTAATATCACTGACCCCACCATCCCATTGAAGGATGGCCCCTGGCTGCAGCACATGGACCACCAGCAGGTAGCACTTTACACCCTCCTGCTTCCAGTGGCACTGAGGTGTGTTGTGTGGACAAAAAAATGGGCCATATACTAAGTCTGGCAAGCCCAGGGGAGGCCTGTATGGTGGCCTTGCAAACTCAGAGATCTAAAATAACCACATAGGATGGTCTGAAATTAAAACTTTCCCTAACTGCCTTGGCTGGAGTGGCTTAGTTGGTTGAGTGACATCTGGTGCACCAAAAGGCTGTGGGTTTGATTCCTAGTCAAGACACCTACCCAGATTGTGGGTTTGATCCCCAATTGGGACACATACCAGAGGCAGCTGATCAATGTTTCTCTCTCACATGGATGTTTTGCTTTCTCTAAAATCAATTAAAGAAAAACACATATCCTCAGGTGAGAATTAAAAAACAAAAGTTTCCCCTAACTAAAACCAGTTCATGGTGGGTAGTTATGTCCTAGGATGGTATTTTTCCCTAACAAAGGTCAGTATTTACCTTAACCCTAGCCTGCTTGTTGTCTTTTGCGTCTAAGAAAACATACCTGTGGGATATCAAAGTAATTTCCTTCCACCACCTCCCATTCCTCAAAGTGCAACCACCACACCAGAGGACAGACCACAAATCCCCCTTGTTGTTATTATATCATGTTGTTAACTGTTAACTATCCTATACCCACCTGTGTAAAGAAGTATGTGTTGGCCCTGACTGGGTGGCTTAGTTGGTTGGAGCATAATGCTGCACACCAAAAGGTTGCAGGTTCGATTCCCAGTCAGGGCATGTACCTAGGTTGCAGTTTTGTTCCCTGATTAGGGAGTATATGGGAGGCAACTGATTGATGTTTCTCTCTCTCCCTCTCTCTAAAACAAATATGTCCTTAGGTGAGGATTTAAAAAACAAAATGGTATATGTCTATTTGTTTTCCTTTTCATCCAAACTCATCCAGTCTCCCCACTTTACTTTCTCCTGCCTCCGTAATCTATCACCAATGGATTTCATGTAACCCCCTTACTAGCACATCTTCACCTTTGATTCTGATGTATAAAATAAGTGGTAAACTGCCATTTCTCACAGCATTTTTCTCAGTCCCACTGATACCATTGTAATTAGCTAGTTATTAATAACTAGAGGCCTGGTGCACAAAATTCGTGCACTGGGGGCGGGGGGCAGGGTCCCTCAGCCTGGCTTGTGCCCTCTCACAGTCCAGGAACCCTCAGGGGATCCTTAGCGGCTCCCACCACCGCCGCTGCACTCACCAGCCATGAGCCAAGCTCCTGGCTGAGCAGCACTCCCCCTGTGGGAGCGCACTGACACCAGGGGGCAGCTCCTGCATTGAGCGTCTGCCCCCTGGTGGTCAGTGCATGTCAGAGGAGCGGTTGAGCAGCCTTAGCATATCATTAACATGTTATGCTTTGATTGGTTGAACAGACGGCTGGACGATCAGACACTAAGCATATTAGGCTTTTATTATACAGGATAGGGAAGAAGCATAGGGAAGGCCAGACATTATATGCTGGTCACTGGGGAAGCTTCACCAGGAACTGCAAGTTCACACTCCCCAGGGAACCACTGGCCCATTCCCCAGAGATCACTAGGGGAAAGAGTCCAACAAAGGGGAGATAGACACATATGCAGTGAAGTTGAGATGACTAGGGAAGGTGCCTGTCAATCAAACCTGGGGACAGAGATCACTAGCCAGAGTGGGTGGAGCCACTGCAATATCACAGAAATTTGGGGATAGGCCTAAACAAAGGAAATTGCTCTTTTCTGTTGTTGCTCTTGGCTCTCTTGCATTTGCCCATATGGCCCATAGCATGTGGACTCCACAGGCAATGGACTAATTGACTGCAATGGGGAAACACAAGCTAAGCTAGCCGGACGCTGGACCAGAATTGGCTCCAACATGGAAAGGAAACTCTGGCCACTGGCTCTGATTTTAGCTCCCCAGTGCCGCTGGAAGCAGGAAGGTGCTGAAGCCCCAGTTACATTCTATGACTAGACTATGGGAAATGGGACTTTGGAAACTCAGGTGTTTGATTCCACACAAATAAAAACCACTTGTTCTCTCATTAGAGCCTCAGAAATTTTTTTCTCAGGATATCACAGGAATTCCACTCCCATGAACAACAGTGGGGATGAGAAATTCTCCCCACCGGTAACACCTTTTTGTTTCCCTGCAATTATCGTCAGTTTTGCTTAAATAAACTCATAAAAATTCTTATAGGTTAGGACATTTCTTACTTCGGCAGATTCTGTGCTCTCCATCTCCTTGGCACTGCCCACCAAGGTGAGCGCAGGGTGGTCCCATTGTGGAGGCTGACCACCCACCGCCCTACCCTCACCTTCTTCACCTGGGAAGTAAACTGTGGAGTCATGTCTTGAGGGAAGTCCTTCAGCTGGAGCTGCAATGTGGCTGCCCTTAGAGGCTTTATGCTTGGGACTGAGCCTGACCCTCAGCCCTCCCTCCTGTCCGCAGGCCCAGCCATCCCAGCACCTGGCACTGAAAACCTGGTGGTGTTAGGGCCAGCATTGGATACCCTGAGGGCCCGGCCACCATGTTCCTGAACCCCCTGAGTATTTTGCTGGCTCCTGCATGGCCTTGCCCTGGAGTCCCCTCTCAGCACCCACAGGCTGGGCTCAGCACTGGGCAGGAGAGAAGGCTGCAGCAACTCCAAGAGTGGCACCAGGAGTAGCGAGGGCTATAGAACAGTGGGTGCAGCAGCTACGCATGGAGAGTCTGCTGTGAAGGGTGAGTGGGGCCTATATGTTTTTGTTTAGGCTAGAGCCCAATATTTAAAAATCAGAACATTTCAGCCTTACCTGGTTTGGCTCAGTGGATAAATCGTCAGTCTGTGAACTGAAGGGTCTCAGGTTTGATTCCAGTCAAGGGCACATGCCCGGGTTGCGGGCTCGATCCCCAGTGTGGGGCATGCAGGAGGCAGCCGATCACTGATTCTCTCGCATCATTGATGTTTCTTCTCTCTCTCTCTCTCTCTCTCTCTCTCTCTCTCTCTCTCTCTCTCTCCCTTCCTCTCTTAAACCAATGAAAATATATTAAAAAATGTATTTGCAGGTTCAATCCTCAGTGGGGGAACATGCAGTCGATCTATGTTTTGCTTTCACATCGATGTTTCTCTCTTCCTCTCTCTCTAAAAATCAATAAAAATCTGTTTTTAAAAATCAAAATCTGATCAGGCTTTTTTTCTGCTTACAACCCCAAGGCTAAGCTTGAGGCCCCAGGGTCTGGCCTTGCCTGGACAAGAGAGGTAAGAGGGGTTCCAGAAAGGAGCCCCCACAGTGCCTCTGAACTAAGGTGTCTCAACCTGACAGCCAGCGGGTTGGACATGGCCCACAGATATTGTTTGTTTGGCTTCAACAGTGCTTTAAAGTAATTTCTGATCTTTCCCAGAGGCTCAGCAGATCTAGCAGCGCTGGGTTAATATGCCCAGTTAGTAGCAGTCAGCTGGAGCTGCAATGTGGCTGCCTTTGGAGGCTTATGCTTGGGGGTGTGGCCTGAATCATGGTGGGACACAAGAGGGACACACAGTGGGGCAAGGACAGAGCTCAGACTCAGGCCTGGGGCTCTGCATGAAGCCTTCCAGGGCCCCTGGACTTATTGTCTTTCTCTACTTCCCTGTTCCCACTTGATCCCTGTCTCTCAATCTCATCTTTTTCCACATTTATCTTTGTCCATGTGCTTCCCAATTGCTCTGTCCTCCCATCTATCTCTCCATTTCCCCATGCCTCTCTTCATCTGCATTTTTCTGTGTCCTCCATATCTATGTCCCTGTCTCTCTGCTCCTACTTTCTTCTACACCCCATGTCTGTCTCTCCATGTCTCTGTGAGACAGGCCAATAACTGGCTTGATTCCTTGTTCATTGTATACTGCTTCTGAACATCTAATTATTTTTAGTTGTCTAAATAAAATGCCTCTAAAAAAATAATAAATAAATAAATTAATTAATTTTAAAAGATACAGGTTCTGAGAGGGTTGGCAGATCTGTAGCAAGGTAATTAAAAGCCCAGGCTGTCTGTTTTCAAGTCTTCGCTCCAAAACCTACTTGCTGTGTGCCCTTGGGCAAGTGGCTTACCCTCTCTGGGCCTGGTAAGTGCTGTGGAAACTCTGTGATGAGAATGATGATGATGATGATAGAAATCATATCTGAGACATCCCGTATAGAGGTCAGATCTCAGTTCTCACAGAGAAAACACCCATCACCACCAACACCGCCTTAACTGGCCAGGCTTACAGAAAAGCTCCATCATGAGGGTGAGGGTCAAAAAGCACTGACTCCGCTTTCCCATTACCCTTGTCTCTGCTTCATATCTCTCCGTCTCCGTGTCTCGCTTCCTTCTTCGTGTTCACCTCTTCTTTCCTTTCTCTCCCCATCCTCCGCGTCAGTCCCCTTCCATCGCTGCGTCCAGCCTTTCCATCAGCGTGAGGAGCCTCCCAGTATCTCCTCCCTCACGCCGGGTCGTAAGTAACAGCGCGCATGCGCCTTCAGCGCCCCTCCCTCTCTACCCCCCATCTACCACCGGCTTTTTTCTCCTTCTCACCCATCACTTCCCCTGAAACTGACACCCCATTACTCCAGTCCCCCCACTCTCAGCTTTCGTCTGCAGCCCTGTTTGCCCAAGGTAAGATGGGTAGAGGGGAGGCCCGCGGAGAAGGGGAGGGGCGAAGCCTCCAGCATCCAGCATCCAGAGATAAACAAACCTGGGGAGGGGGCGGCCTAGACTGAGGGCCCTGACGCGATAGAAGAATGGGGGGCTGGGCCTGCGGGAAGTGGTAGACACTGGGCCCACATGCTAGGGCCCTCTGATGGGAAATGGGCATCCTTATGATTGCTCCAAATCCAGAGCTGGGAATGTGAGGCCCTGGGAGCTTCTGTGGGTTGGGGAGCCTGTGGGGTGCCTTCTCTAGCTGACCTCTGCTTCCAGGATTTGCCTGAAGGCCGCCCTGAGGGCCACCGAGGATCATGACTAAGACAGATCCTACCCCTATGGCCCCTCCGCTCTTGGACAAGGAGGAAGAAGAGGATGAGGAGGATGAGGAGGTTCCCGAGGCCCCCAGTCCCACCCAGGAGCGCCGACAGAAGCCTGTTGTGCACCCCTCAGCACCTGCCCCCCTCCCCAAGGATTACGGTAACCATCCTCCCACCCCAGAATCTGGCCCGGAGCCTTAGATGGCCAGGCAAGAAGTCTTAGCTGCTGAGTCCTTGTATTCCAAACGCCCCCCCCCACCCCCACCCCCCACACTCATTCATTCATTCGTTGGAGAATGAAATTGGAATAACTTTAAATTGGTTCATGATACATCATTTAGTCATTTAGTCATTCAACAAACATTTGCTTAAAGTCTGCTGTGGACCTGGCTCTGTGTTAGGAGCTGGTAGCACAGCATGGAGCAAGATAGATCCAGTCTTTGCCCTGAGAGAACTCACAGGCCTCTATAATGACCATACAAATAAGTATAATAATATAATATAAATATGTAATTACATGACATGATGAGAAATTGTGCTTGCCAAGAACAGAATACTGCAAGAGTTTGTTAAGACATGGTTTCTCTAAGGAGAAGGTTTGAGGGAGACCTAAGGATGAGTTGGGGGTTAATCAGGAATGGGTTGGGGGAAATGGAGTCCCAGGATAGGTGACCATAGGAGGAACTGCAGGAGTGAAGGTTCTGAGGAAGGAGGGTGTGGAGCTCAGAGGGTTCTTCTTGGAGAAACTGAAAGTATCTAATCATCAAGCAGTATTTATCTATTGTTACTACTCTGTGACAAGCATTATGTTGGGTGATAGAGATTTAATGGTGAGCAATCTAGGCATGATCCCTTCTCTCAGGAGAGGAGAGACTGAATAATTAACAGATCAATAAACAGGTAAGTTCAGATTGGAGTAAGTGCTATGAAAGAAATAAAAGATAGAAATAAATAGAGCCCTAGCCAGTTTGGCTCAATGCATAGAGTGTCAGGCCATGGACTGAAGGGTCCCAGGTTAGATTCCCATCAAGGGCACGTACCACGGTTGCAGGCTCAATCCCTGGTCTGTGTCTCCCTCACATCGATGTTTCTTTCTGTGTCTCTTCCCCCTCCCTTCCACTCTCTCTAAAAATCAATGGGAAAATATCCTTGGGTGAGAATTAACAAAACAAAAAAATAGATAAATAAAATAAAAAAGAAAATAGAGAATGGCTAGAGGGAAGCAACTTGAGACAGAGAGGTCAGGGTGGGTCTTGCTGTTGAGGTAGCATTTAGGCTGAGACCCAGAGCATGAGGAGAATCAGTGGAGAAAGAGAGTTCCAGGCAGAGAGCAGCAAGTGCAGAGCCCTGGGTGTGGAACAGGACTGAGTTTGGAACAGAAAGCAGCTCATGGAGCTGCAGCTGGGGAGTAATCAGTTGAGGTGAGAGGTTGGCAATGGGGCTTAAAGGCCATGGTGAAGACTTTGGATATATTCTAAGTGTGATTGGGAGAGAGCATTTGTGGGATCGTTTAAAAGCAGAGAAGTGATGGGTCTCATATGTTTAAAAGGTAGAGAGGGTGGGGCTCAGCTGGAGTTGGATATAAGGAGCTTTTAGAAAACATTGGCTGTGAGGGTCAAAAACTAGTGGGACATATCACCCAATAGAGGTGAATCAGAGAGGCAACAAGTTAACCTCAGTTTGGTAGAAAAATAAGGAAGTTATCTGGATGTCTGGGCAGGGGGTCCACCCCAGGAAACTGGAAAATCTCCTTTGGAAATGCAGCTAGATACGGCCAGGGCTTTTGGCCTGGTGGGAAGTGAGAGGGTCTGGGCTGAAAACAAGCAGGATTGGTCACAGAAGGTGAAGGAATCTGGAAATGTGGTCTAGGACAGAGAGAGGGCTAAGGTGGATTCCAAGAGGAGCTCATGTATTTGTTTATTAAATGTGTACATTAATTCAGCAGAGATTGACTGAACACCTACTCTGTGCCAGGTTTTGTGCTGGGCTTTGGGGATAAAGGGGTGGATGGGTAGGGGGACCATGGCAGATTGGAACATAGCACTTATATCCTAATGAGGGAGACTAGTGAGAAAGTACGAAAGAAGAAAAAAGAGAAGAAGAGGAAAAGAGGGAGGGAGGTGTAAACAAGTTGAGTAGTGATATGTGTTGTGATTAAAGAAATAAAAAAGGGCAGGAGATGGAGAAGGGCAGAAGTGCTGATTTCGACAGGGTGGTTGGGGAGGCCTCTCTGAAGAGGTGACATTTGAGCAAAGACCAGCAAAGCCTTGAGAAGATCTGAGAGAAGGCTGCCCCAGATAAGAAAAACAGCAAGTGCAAAGTCCCTAAGACAGGAATTTGCCTGGTGTGTTGGAAGGATAGAAGGCCAGTGTGGATGCAGGGGAAGTTGAGAATAGAAAACAGACAGGCCAGTTTGTGCAGGACATGTAGGCAGAGGGAAGGATGTGGTCTATATTCTGAATGTGATGGGAGCCAGGTCAGGATTCTAAGCCAAAGAGTGATGTTTTATGACTGGGATTTTAACAGAAGCACACAGGCTGATTCCTGGAGACACTTTCTATGCTGCACTTCTCTGGGCTCTACATCATCTGATGTTTCATTTACTCACTCAACATGTACTGAGTTTCTTCCATGTACTAGGTACTAAGCTGGGTGCCGAGGTTACTACAGAGTGCAGTACTCATCAGTCTAATAGGGGAGATGGAAGTTCCTCTGAGCACCACCTGGCTGGCCACAGATTGGGTCCTAACCATGCATACATTTTATGTGGACTGCACAGCATTTGAAAACTTGGGGAGATTTTTCTTAAAAACTAGGATTTCTGTTTTAAATTATTATTTTATTATTATTTTTTTTACTCTAGAAATTTGTCCAAACTGTCCCCATGCTCTGTCAGGGCAACAGTGCACTAGCAACCTCCGTGGGCACGCAGACTTGAGGGTGCTACACTCCTTATCACACTCTGTTCAAGAGGTGGTGTTTGCTGCTCCATGGGAATTGCTCAGTCTTCCAGTTTTTTAAGACATAGTGGGCGTCCAGATTTTTATGTGAAACCTCCTGACTTTGACACCTCATGCTGGCCACATGGAATATGCCTGTGGCCGATGCACCACTACTTTGAGACCCTGCCTTAGGGAGGGTCTTAAAGGCAAACCCTAAAGCTCCTCTGGAAGGAGGGGGTCAGCTTGCTTTGGATGACTTTAGACCTCTCACCACTTCAGCTTTCACCTTCTTCGACCCCAATGACCCGGCGTGCCAGGAGATTCTGTTTGACCCGCAGACCACCATCCCCGAGCTGTTTGCCATTGTGCGCCAGTGGGTGCCCCAAGTACAACACAAGATTGATGTCATTGGCAATGAGGTAAGAACACTGGGGAAGCCAAGGAGGGAGAGGATGGGGATCCCTTGCATGTTTCGGGAACCTTCCCCGGTCCTCTGGTACTCCCAGATTCTGCGTCGAGGCTGCCATGTGAATGATCGTGATGGGCTGACCGACATGACACTGCTCCATTATGCCTGCAAGGCTGGGGCCCATGGAGTCGGTGAGTGTCCCAACCCCAAACCACATGCCCCAAAACCTAGGCCCTCAGACCCGACACCTTCAAAACCACCCAGAACTCTGGTCCTCAGATCCCCATCCTAAACCTTCAGCCTAAGATCCCAAATTGCCCTCCCTGAGACCCAGGAAGTTCCTCATGCCCTGGACCCATGACTGACCCGGGCTGTCATGCAGGGGACCCTGCTGCGGCAGTGCGCCTCTCACAGCAGCTGCTGGCGCTGGGCGCAGACGTGACCCTGCGCAGCCGCTGGACCAACATGAACGCACTGCACTACGCAGCCTATTTTGATGTGCCCGACCTTGTGCGTGTGCTGCTGAAGGGTGCTCGGCCTCGAGGTGAGGGGCGAAGTCCAGGCTGGGGTGGGAGGCCAGGACCCAGTGAAAGAACAGGCCCTGGAAGCAGAGTGAGGGTGCCCAGGGTTTTGGGGATGGGGATGTGGTATGAAGAAGGAGAGATACCAAATGATGGGGCCAAACTAAGCCCTGGCTTGGCAGGAAGGGGGCACTAAACTGAGGAGATAGTAGGAGGCTGGAGACTAGAGGCATTGGAGATGGGGTTCAGTGGTTCACTACCCCAGGACAGGGCTGGACCTCGCAGGGAGGGGCCGGTTTTATGGAAGGCACTGGGGCTGGGAGGTTAGCAGCCTGTTAAGAGATGGAGGCTGGAAGGTAGGGGGATACCTAGAGTGCCGAAAACACTTACCAAGATCTCTCCTCTCGCCCACCTCCCAGTGGTGAACTCCACGTGCAGTGACTTCAACCATGGCTCAGCCCTACACATCGCTGCCTCTAACCTGTGCCTGGGTGCAGCCAAATGTTTGCTGGAGCATGGTGCCAACCCGGCGCTGCGGGTACTGCCACCTTGGCTCAGCACTTTTATCTTCCTTCTCTTTCCTCCCCCATTCCTTTCCAGGCCAGCAGGCCTCTGCAGAAGATGAGGGGGGCCCTGACCACCTGCATCTCTGGAAGCTCTCAAAACATTACAAAGATCATCTGTACCTTCAACAAATGACATAATAGCTGACATTTAGTTAGTGTTCATGATATGTCAGGTGAACTGTATTAGGAGCACTGTTTTACAATGGGGAAACTGAGGCAGGGTCACCCAGCAAGGACTTCTTTCAGTCCTGGCTGATGTTGTGGCCTTATGTAGACAGTATTTAGAGATCATGAAGAAAGTCGAATGAGACTCTTGGTGAATGAGAGGGTTGGGCCCAGCATAAGCCCTCAATATGATCTTTGACCCCAACCCATCCATTTCTAGGTCCTATCTTTAATATGAGTTACTCTGCAGCATCCCAGGAACAGATATCTTGGGTTGACACCTGCACCCCTGAGGTCTTGCCTCACCTCCTTCCCCATTGGCTCAGTTGGACCACTGACTCAGTATTATAGGAGCCCATTTTCAGTGTTCATTCCTCACATGGCCCCATTCCTGGCCTGGGGTCTCTGAGGGCATGGCCTCCCTAAAGGCGTGACCTACAACACTTGACCATAACCTTCAGTCCCTAGCAGCTCTACCCCTAGTCCCTCTCCCAATTACTTGACATCCCTAGCCTGAGATCTCATGGGTGGATTTCCCTGGAACATTGTCTGCACCTTAATGTCCCACCCCTTCTTAGTCCCATGTTGACCCAAAGTGTGACCTAGTCCTACCTCTGTTTCACCTAGACCCAGGGTCTTGGGGCATGGGTTCAGTGGGGGTGCAGCCTGTACCACTGAGTCCTTGTCCCTATCTTTCCATTGGTCCTCAGAACCGAAAGGGACAGGTGCCAGCGGAGGTGGTCCCAGACCCCATGGACATGACCCTGGACAAGGCAGAGGCAGCACTGGTGGCCAAGGAGCTACGAACACTGCTGGAGGAGGCCGTGCCACTCTCCTGCGCCCTCCCCAAGGTCACGCTACCCAACTACGACAATGTTCCAGGCAATCTCATGCTCAGCACATTGGGCCTGCGCCTGGGAGACCGCGTGCTGCTGGATGGCCAGAAGGTCAGGGACTAGACCGGGTAGGGAAGGGGAGGACTCAGCCCTCAGCCCTTAGGACTGGGTCATTGGGCAGTGTGCAGACTTTCCCTTTGTTGACCCACCCTCTAATGATTCACATTTATTTTACCCAACAGTTGTTCTGTGAGTGCCTCTTTTGTGCCCCAACCTGGGTTGAGGTCTCAGTCCAGTGGGAAACAGATCCATCAACTGCCAGTGACAGTCCAGAGTAGCGGTGGCTATCATGGGGAAGCACAATCAGAGTGGTCAGTGAAGCTCTGCTCCATCTGGGTCCCCTGAGCTTCTTGGTCTCCAGTCAGGGCCCACCTCTGCTCCCAGAGTAGTCAGTACTTTGGAAGAACAGTCAGGGGTGTGGCACGAGATGTACCTACTTGAGGAGGAGGAGTGAGCTAGGAGAAGAGGGTCTCAGGTAGGGGGAGCAGATAAAAAGGTCCAGAGAACAGAGAGAATCTTCGTCCAGGCATTCCAACTTTGATTCATTTACTGGTGTCCCTTAGGCTCCATGCTGGACCAAGCCCATTCTTGGGGATAAAGGGCTATGTCAGACCCAGCCCTGCTTTCATGGAGCTTCATTTCTAATGAAAGAGAGTCAATAAAGTAAACCATAGTTAAGATCAATTCTGGTGGCAACGAGGGCTTTGGGAACCATTCAATGCTTGGATTTAGTAAGCTGTCCCTGGGTGAGGGTAGAGGTGGTTTTAGCTGGGTGTTCTAAGAGGACTTCTCTAAGGAGGTGATGTATGAGCTGAGATGGGAAAGAACTCACCTTGTGAAAATATGAAGACAGAGCACACAGCAGGTACAGAGACCCTGTTATACAGGATGGAAGATGAGGTGGAGAGGGCAGGAGGGGCTGATCATACCAGATCTGCATGCCACTGGAAGGAATCTGGATTTTATTTCTTGAGAAAGCATAAGAGTTACATTTTGTTCCCTATCTTTTTGCACCAGTCCCATCTGGAAAGCTGTGTGTGATCTAGTTAAATTCATGTGACAATTCTGAAAGCAGGATGAATTACTCTTCCCATCTTACAACCCAGAAGACTCTAGGAAGCTTAGAGAGGTGAAACCCTTTGTCTGAGGACATGCAATAACCATCCCTGCCCCTAAGAAAATCAGCATAACACAGTAGTTATGAGCTTAGGCTCAGGGATTTACTCAGGCAAATCTTACCAGCTCTGGGGCTTGGGGTCAGTGATTCTGCCTCGTTGGGCATCAGTTGCTCCATCTGTACAAAAGAGCTAATAACAGTACCCATGTCAGAGGGTAGTATGAGGTTTAAATTAGTTAAAATGTCTAAATTCCTTTAGGGCTTGGTGCATCTAAGTGCTGTGTGCCAGGTACTGCTCAGATCCCTCTAACCCTCCAAAGTGGCACTTTTTATTAGCCCATCCTCTAGACAAGAACTGAGGCTTAGGTAAAGGAGCCTCACGCTATTATAATAACCACACTCCCTGCAACTAAGCAACTTGACATATATTAAAAGTGTTTCAACCAGACAAAGCCTAGGAGGTGGACTGTTATCTCAATTTTCCAGATGAAACTAACCCAGAAGGTCCCAGGACCAAAGTTACATGATAATAGTAGTCAACACTCACTAACCCCTTACTCAGCACCTGGCCAATCTGAGAGCTTTAAATGTTGCTGTAACTATGCTGTCCAATGAAGTAACCACAAGGCACACGTGGCTATTAAGCACTTGAAATGTGGCTGGTGTAATTCATTTAATTTTAGTTAAATTGTCATCTATTGGCTAGTGGCTATTTATTGCATTGAACAGGGCAGCTCTATAACAATCCTATAAGGTGGGCACAGTTTCTGTTCCTATTTTGCAGATGAGCACATTAAGGCACAGTGAGGTTATGTCATATGGCCAGTAAATGGTGATGTCTGAGTTGAGATTTGAGTCTGGAGCTCCCTCATCTCCCTCACCACACTGCCTGTGAGCCAGTGATCTATCATAGCCTCCTAAGGCCTCCCCAAGCCACATCCTCCCTTGTTTTTCCAGACGGGCACACTGCGGTTCTGCGGGACCACGGAGTTCGCCAGCGGCCAGTGGGTGGGCGTGGAGCTGGACGAACCTGAGGGCAAGAATGATGGCAGTGTTGGTGGTGTCCGGTACTTCATCTGCCCTCCCAAGCAGGGTCAGTACCACTGGGGGCCCAAAAGGAGTGGCGGGTGGGGTCCACTCAGTAGTTCTGTGGCTGACTGGGTAATGGGGGTTGGAGGGTGATATTGGGGTAGAGGCATAGAGCAGAGACTTGGACAACTCCCAGCCCAGGCTCTATCCCTCCAGGTCTCTTTGCATCTGTGTCCAAGATCTCCAAAGCAGCGGACGCACCCCCTTCATCTGTCACCTCCACACCTCGCACTCCCCGGATGGACTTCTCCCGTGTCACTGGCAAAGGCCGAAGGGAACACAAAGGTCAGAGAGGGAGCCCGAGGTGTGAGGAGAGCCAGTCTTGGAGATAATCTGTGGGTAGCCCAGCTTCTATGATTCAGTTTCTCCTCAGGTCCAAACTCCCTAATTTTAGAGGATGACCTTTAGTTCTTTTCTTAATTTTTAAATTTTTTTTATTGATTTCAGAGAGAAAAAGAGAGGGAGAGAAAGATAGGAACATCAATGATGAGAAAGAATCATTGATCAGCTGCCTCCTGTACACCCTTTACTGGGGATCTAGCATGCAACCTGGGCATGTGCCCTGATGGGGAATCAAACCATGACCTCCTGGTTCATAGGTCAACGCTCAACCACTGAGTCATGCCGGCCGGGCTGGGTTCCTGACTTCTGTGACTGGTTTTTTCTATTGGCCCAAATATCCTCAGCTTTGAGAAAGGATTTTGGGATCCTCCCAGTTCTATTTTTTTTTAAATATATTTTATTGATTTTTTTACAGAGAGGAAGGGAGAGGGATAGAGAGTTAGAAACATCGATGACAGAGAAACATCGATCAGCTGCCTCCTGCACACCCCCTACTGGGGATGTGCCCGCAACCAAGGTACATGCCCTTGACCAGAATCGAACCTGGGACCTTTCAGTCCACAGGTTGACGCTCTATCCACTGAGCCAAACTGGTTACGGCCCTCCCAGTTCTTAACTTGGCTGGGACTGTTCCCCTCCACACCAAAGCCCTGCAGTTCTAGGGAAGGCTCTGGAGTTCCTGATTAGAGCCAGAACAGAATTTCTGTCTTGGGGCTTTCTGGTGCCCTGGGGTCCCCAGGGCTGGTGCCTGGAGCCCCCTCCTACCCTCACCCCTGTACCCTCTACCCCCAGGCAAGAAGAAGCCCCCATCATCCCCATCTCTGGGAAACCTGCAGCAGCGAGAGGGAGCCAAGGCTGTGGTTGGAGACCAAGTCCTTGTGGCAGGCCAGAAGCAAGGGGTTGTGCGCTTCTACGGGAAGACAGACTTTGCCCCAGGTGAGGATGGGGATCTGGGCTGGGAGACAGGCAGGGCCTCAAGGTCTGACACTCTTCTGCTTCAGGTTACTGGTATGGAATTGAGCTAGACCAGCCCACGGGCAAGCATGATGGCTCTGTCTTTGGTGTCCGGTACTTCACCTGCTCCCCAAAGCATGGAGTCTTTGCACCAGCATCCCGAATCCAGAGGTGAGCCCAATTCAAAGTATCACCCAGGACCCTGATTCTCTCTTCAGTTGTCTTCTCCTCTTGGACTAGCAGGACAGTATGGATACCCACCCCTACACCTGAGCTCTTTCCGCATGGGCCCCCGACCCCCATCTCCAGGTCAGACCCTGGCTTCTGAGGCTCTGACTCCTCCCACTCTTCATATCTCCCCAGGATTGGTGGATCCACTGATCCCCCTGGGGACAATGTCGGAGCCAAAAAAGTGCATCAAGTGACAAGTGAGTTGGGGGCTGGAGTGTGGGGAGGAGAGTTTGGGGACAGGAGGAAGGGTCATGCTAGTGACAGATTATCCAGTATTAAACTGGGAACAGAGTCCGGGAAAATGATGAAACAGGAACCCCAAGAAGATAGGTGCTATGGGATATGGGGATGTTAACAACAAGCTCTGGGCAGGCACTGGAGACATGGGTAGGTATTGGAGGACACAGAATATTATTGACAAAAAGGTTCAGATGGATATTGGGAATGTGGGGTCCAGGAGTCTGGGTGGGTAGAGTCTGGGTGGGTATTGAGGGTACAAGTGGGACTATCATCCCCTCACCTGAGACCTTGCTCTCCCCTTCAGTGACGCAGCCCAAACGCACCTTTACAACAGTCCGGACCCCAAAGGACATCGCATCAGAGAACTCAATCTCCAGGTGTGTAGCCAGGCCATTGGACACAGGGGTCTGGGGCTCTGGTTGGGGCCAGAAATAGAGGTTAGGAAAACTTGTGACTAGTCAGCTTACTGAGAAACGGTCTTTAGGGAGTGAGGCCCTGCACTAAATTCTGGAGACTTCAACTTTTAAGGGATACTTAGGGGAGGCAGAACACTTTCCACAGGAGCCTGGGAAGGCACAGCCAAACAGGTAGAGGCAGAATCCAGCAAGGCCAAACATTTGGGGAAGAGCTGAGGGAGACAGACCCAGATGTTCCCATACCTGCATTAAGGAGTGACATGGTTCTCCTTTCCAGATTGCTCTTCTGCTGCTGGTTTCCTTGGATGCTGAGGGCAGAGATGCAGTCTTAGAGGCCCTGGACACCTGACAAAGAGACAGTCCCTCTAGCATCTCCTGACACAAGGAGCCCCCAGGTCACCCTGAGATAGATATTCCCAATAACACATCCAGACTAGAGATCCCCATTAGCCAGCCCTTATTAATCACTGAGGCCCATCATTAACAGATTCCCCCATGATAAATGCCCAAATACAGATCCCATGTTACCCAGAAAGATTTCTTGAGTGTAGCTCCTTCAGGCTAGTCCCTATCCTCAACCACTCAGAGCAGGACTCCCAATAATAGATTTCCACATCACCCCAAATGGTGACCTTTTCCACATAATGCTCCACAGCAGAACATTCCTCAGTCACTCATCCCAGAACTCTCCCCCATTAAAAAAGAACCCATCAAATCCCCTTGAAATAAACACAGGTCATGCCTCCAGAGCTGCAGTTACAGACCTTTATGTCACTATGCTACATTTAACATCAGTCCCCTCAAGATGTGATTCCCCATAGTTACCCCCAAACCCTTATATTGCAATCAGAGACCGCTCCCTCCATTTACAAAGACCCCTGCTCTTACCCCTGAAGAAGACACACATTAACCAGGCCACTGACACCTCCAATTTACAGATACCAAAATAGTCCTGGAAGTACTAATTACAGGACCCCCAAGTGTTCCTATCTTCTGCACCCTCAAGAATCCCCCAGTGCCTTGTATGAAGCCCACCCAACATGGCCCACAGCCCCTCTGCTGGCCAGATTTCCAGAAAATTCTCTATTTTTAAAGTGATGACTTTCCCTTTTGGGGGAACCCAAAATTACCCCAAAGCCCTAATTTCCAAGACCCCCAAGCCATGGGATCCCCAAATTCCCAGGGAGTCCTATATGTAAAAATCCAATCCCAAGCCCCCAGGAAACCCCAATCATGGACGTCCTTGTGCCTGGAATGGAGGAGACTGCAGTCAGGTCATGCATCCCAGGCTACCATGGCACCTTAAGCCCTATTTATAGGCACCAGGAGACCCCAAACAGTTATGCTCATCCCTGAAAACTAGAGGACTTCAATGCCCTGAGTCATGGATCTCAAGATGCCAAATTCCAAGAGTCCCAGCTCCCAAAGAACCCCAAATCCTAAAGCCTCCATCTCATACATGAAGGGCATCCCAAGGCCTTGAGGGGATCCCAAATCCTAGAGCCCTCATTTCAATCCACGTTCTGGTCATAGGTCCAAAACACCAAATCTGAGTCACTGACCCTAAATGACGTCACAGCACCCAGGCCAGACTAGCAGCGTGAGGGAGACCCTGAAGGCCCAGGGAGTCCAGGACGGACCTGGGGGCCTCACTACCAAGGACAGCTCAGACTACCCCTTAACTGCATGTCCCAGAACTCAGCATGACCCCTCTGCCCCCTTCAATAAAGACGTTTCTATGGCTTCGCTGTGTCGGACCTGAGTCTGGGGATTACAGCCCTGCCCCTGCACCGCTGCTGGGGGAGGACGAGAGAGGAAGTCCTTCCTTCAATCTCGGCTCCCCGCAGCCTGGGCACAGGACGATCTAGTCCGCGGGGAGTCCTAACAGTCCCCTCTTCTTCCTGTGGTCGCCACGGCTGCCCCTCCCATCTGGGCCCACTCCAGCGTGGACAGGTTCGGTTCTGGAGCTGATTGGTCGGTGCCACAGGAAGCTGGGTAACCGAGGGTCCCCAGTGGCTCAGAGGCCGGGAGGCGCAGCCTATCACTGGACGAGGGTGAGGGGGCGGGACAATGTTGGGTGAGAGCGCCAATTGGGCGGAAGGCGGACCCTTCAGGCTTGTGAGAGTTCCCATTGGTCTCAGGACTCCTGCGTCGGAAACGCGGGGGAGGAAATGGCTGGGAAAGGAAAAGGGGTGTTGAATTTGGATATTGGTGGGGACATTGGTGGACGGTCAGTTTTGTGGGTGGCGGAGGGCGGGAATAGGGGTCTGAGGGTGGGGGTCCGAGGAGCGCAGAGTGTGGAGTGTGTGTGTGTGTTAAGGGGGGGGAGGGGGCGGGCGGCTCGGGGATTCAGGGAAGAAAGAAGGTTTGAGAGGAGTCAGGCGCAGGGCTTTAGGTCCAAGAGCGCTGCAGTGAAGGGGTGCGCGGGAAGGGAAATCTGAGGGAGTCCAGAGTGGGGGGATCCAAAGAGACAGAATGGATGCGTCAGAGGAGATTCAGTTTGGGTGTGTTCAGAATGTGGCATCTAAAAGGGCTTGAGGCAGGAGGAGCCCATAGGGACTCCATCCTGAATGTTGTTGGAGAGCGAGGCTCAGGGTTGCAATCTGGTTGTTAGGAAGGGGTCTCAAGTTAAGATGTTTAAAGGGGCTCTGGGGGTGCAGCCCTAGAGGCTGTGAAGCTATTGAGAAAGGCTCCCAGTGGGGTCAGAGGATGTTCTCTGTGAGAGGATGTTCTCATGAGAGAATAAATATGTGTAGTTTGATAGGCTCATGGTAGATGGAGTTTGGATGTTCTGGGTGCTTACTGTGTCCAGGCAAAGTGCCTGGGAGCTCACTGGGTGGCTTTGAGAGGCTGAGGACTCAGGTTTTAGAAATTCAGTGAGTTTGGTTAGAGGTCTGAGCTGAGGCCCTGACCCATGATAGAGCAGAAAGTGGGACCATAACCTGAGGGTAGGAGGCTTGGTGACCTTAGCATATTCTCTCCTCCTCACAGGATCGGGTGCATGGAGTTGGTGTCAGAGGATCAGGACTCCAGGGTCCCAGCCCTGGAACCATTCAGGGTGGAGCAGGTTGTCAGGACTGGGGGTGCAGAGGGTGAAGGTGGGAGGACTGAGGGTGGAAGATAAAGTGGAGATAAGCAGGCTGACTCTTGGTTTGTGAGCTGGGACTGCTCCCTCCGGGTTCATTCTTCCCCTATCTCACTCCCACTTTCTATCCCCAAAATGGGCATTGATCCCTCAACTTCAGGCCCTGGCCTGTCTGGGAACATCCTAAGCCTCACTACAGAGGGAGGGGGCTGCTCATCATTGCTAGGGTCCCTGTATAGGTCAAAGGGTACCAGTTTCAGGGGAATCTCTCCATCCTAGGCACCACCTGTAATCTACTATGTCCCTGACTTCATCTCCAAGGAAGAGGAGGAGTATTTGCTTCGACAGGTGACCTCAGTGCCCTTCTGGTCTGTTTTTCCCATCTTTCCAGATCCTTCCCCAAATCCTAGTTCCTGCTTGAGAGCCCCTGAGGCTATAATGGAGATTCTGGCAGGAAGAAGAGTGCCACCCATCCCTCACTCTCAGGACCCACTGGGCCTGTCAGAAAGAGCTTTTCCCAGGAAGCTTAGGGGAAACCAAACTGATTCTTAGAAATGAAGTGATTATTATGGAGCTCAGATTTCCTGTGCTGAGATAGGCCAGTCCAACTTCCAAAACAAAGATGTTACTGAGATCAGATTCCTTGTGCTAGAATAGGCTGATACACGCCCAGAGCCTCAGAAACGCGGAAGTTACAGAGCCCATATTCTCTGTTCTGAGATAGCCCACTCCTGCTATTTTAGAGAAAAGGAGATTATAAATATAGACTGAGATAGCCCAGTTCAGGCCTTTGATGTTTGGGGAATGAAGAATTTTTAGTGCTGAGGAAGCCCAGGCCTCAGAATGTTACAGAGTATACTCTTTCCTCTGCTTAAATAGCTCAGCATAGACCCAGAGTCTTGGAAACAAGATTTCTCACACAGACCACCTGTGCTGAGGTAATCCAGTCGTATTCTATTTAAGGTTTGGGGAAAGAAAACTTTACAAAGGTCAGTCCTTGCACTGGGACAATCCTTTGTAGCCCCAGAGCCTTAATAATAGAGCACACACACCCACACACAAAAAATAATAGAGCACAGTTCTTCCCTGTGCTGTTCCAACTAGTCTTGTCTAGGTTGAGTCCCAGGAAAAAGTTAGTCACAGAACACAGACTTGTGATGAGATAGCCATTCCAGCCCCATAACCATAAAGGGAACAAGGAGATTACTGAGTGTAGACTTCTTGAAGATGGCTCATTCTAGAACTTTGGGATCTTGGCAGTGGAGACTTTTCAAAGTACTCTCTTTGCTATGCTGAGATAGCCTAGTGTAGTACATCCTCCTTCCCCTCCTCCCCTCCGCCTCCAAGGTAATAGAAATAAAAGGTCCCAAAAGTTAGACGATTCTGAGATAGCCCAGGAAATTACAGGGTGCAGACTATTTGCTGGGCTAAAAGAGCCCAATGCAGGCCAGAGTTCTAAGTAGATTCAGACCGAGGTTGTGTAGCCCTGGTTCCTTTCCTCAATCCCAGTAGACATAGGTGGGCTTTGGGCCTAGCAGCAGCTGCCACAGGGGAAAGAGCAAACAGCAAAATCTTGGGAACACTCTATCTCAGGAAACCATTCCCACAGATACTGAGATAACCCTTTTCCACCCCAGGTAAAGACCTCTATGTTGGCCTGGGTGGGAGAATCAGAGCGGTCCTGAAAAATGAGTGACCCCCTCCCCACCTCCTAGGTCTTCAATGCCCCAAAGCCAAAGTGGACTCAGCTCTCTGGGAGGAAGTTACAGAATTGGGGTAAGTGTTCCTGCCTGGGGGCATGGGTGATTTAAGGATGTGGGTTAGAGCAGGTGCTTCAGGTTGGTTAGTCTTAAGATATTAGGGGGCCCTTGAAGGTTCAAGGGGTCCCAAGGGCCAGGAGGATTCAGAAGTGTCAGTAGAGATTCTATGGGATTAGGAATTTCCTTATAAGTTGGTGCTTTCAAATGTTCCAGGAAACCTTTGAGGCATCAGGAAACCTTTGAAGGGTTGGGTGGTGATCTCCAAAGAATCAGGCATCCCTGAGAAGGTCAGCGTGCTACCAAACCTGGTGATATCATGAGTGAGGGCTTGAGGTGCGAGGGCTCCTTGGTTAGGTGCTCTCAGGACCCCATTGCCCTCCTCCAGGTGGGCTCCCACATCCCCGAGGGATGGTTCCTGAGCGGCTTCCTCTGTGGCTTCAGCGCTATGTGGACAAAGTGTCTGACCTCAATCTTTTTGGGGGTCTCCCAGCCAACCACGTCCTTGTGAACCAGTATCTGCCTGGGGAGGGCATCATGGTAACTACACATCCTCACCCCAACTCCCAGACCTCTGATCCATCATGGGGCAGGCCATTGCCACACACCCCACCAGGCATTCATCTCCCTGTCCCCACCTGGGAGGCCCCCTTGAACCCTAGAGGGTGCGGGGGGTGGACTCCTGCCCTGTCCAGCCCTGGTGCCCACTCCCCAGCCCCACAAGGACGGGCCACTGTACTACCCGACCGTCAGCACCATCAGCCTGGGCGCCCACACCATGCTGGATCTCTACGAGCCGCGGCAGCCAAAGGATGAGGACCCTACAGAGCAGGTGGGCCCTGGGACGCTGCCCCAGTCACTTGTGGGCACTCTCACATCCCACATCCTCTAAGAAGCCCCAATCCCACCTGCCTGCAAGAGACCCTTGATAACCTCCCAGATACCTTCCCTGTCCCTCATAGAATGCAACCATGTCTTCCCAGACACCTATCCCATCTGCTTGCAGGGTGCCCTAGAAAGCTTGATATCCACAGATAATCCCTATACCCCTACCTGCTGATTGAAATGTCCTGACACCCTGAAGATCCCTTGGCCCACATGTTCAGAGTGCTCCAGTAGCCCAATGTCCACATACCCCATGCAGGGTTCCCCAATACTCCAGCAGACACTGATAGCCTCAGATACTCCAACACCATTCATTTCTGAGTGTCCTTGACATCCTTCCAGATATCCTAACTCTCTCTGCCTACTGTACAGAGCACCCCAACACTGACCTCCCACACCTTGGCACCTGGCTTGCTGCTCAAAGACTCCCTAGATAGCCTGACTGTCCTCTAGGGCTGCTCATGACAGCAGCGTCCCTGACCTCTTTCTCTGAGTGATGCATTTCTGACACTACAGTGTTCACAGAAATCTCCCTGGACATCCTGACCCCAGCTGCTGCTTAGGTCGCTCTGTAGTGCTGCATGCTCCTGATTACCCCAGATACCCTGCCTATTGTGCCAGTTTCCTCAAAAATCCTGATGTCTGCAGATACACCCAGAATAAACCAGATCATCTCTGCCTCATTCCGCTTCCCCATCCCGGCCCACCCCAACTCCTGACTTCTGTCAAGCCCTCAACCCAGTTCCTTGTGACCACTGATACCTTGGTCCTAGCCCCTTGGAGATCCCAGCTGCAGCCTAGTCCCTCCAGAGAGGGACTGCTGACCCTACCCTCACCCCGTTCCCTGTAGCCCTGGCTCTGGGACCTGCTGATTTTCACTCCAAAATGAGGGGCACACTTGCCCCTCAGTCTTTGTCTCTGGGGACACACTGACCCTCGCTCCCTGACTCTCAAAGTCTGCTAACTTCTTCTACCCTTCTACTTTTGGGGACACACTGACCATTTATACTCCCCGCAGCCCCGGCCCCCACCCCGGCCGGCCGCCTCGCTGTTGCTGGAACCCCGCAGCCTCCTGGTACTTCGTGGCACTGCCTACACACGCCTCCTCCATGGCATCGCAGCGGCCTGTGTAGATCCACTCGACACCGCCTCTCTACCGCTCAACACTGCCGCCTGCCCATCGGCACGGCCTGGAGCCCACCTGGTCCGTGGCACCCGTGTCTCGCTGACCATCCGCCGGGTGCCCCGTGTGCTGCGGGCTGGACTGCTCCTTAGCAAGTGACGCCTGGCCCCAGGACCTGCTGGGCTTCCCGGACTATCAAGTTTCGGACAGCTGCAACCCTGCAACCTTGAAACCCTGGGGAAGAGGCGGGTCCCCTGAGTTATTTTCCCAATAACTTTGTGGGAACCACAGAAAGGTTTCATTTCAAATAAACCAACAAAAATCTTTCTTTGGTTTTGGATTGGGGTGGAGGGACAGATGCTTGTGTTCTTGAGAGGTGCTGAGTCTGGGACCCTAAATGGTGTGGGTCCTGGGGGTCAGAAGAATGGCTCAGATGAGCCGGGCAGAATCCAGGACTCTTGAGGGGGTAGGATTATACCCCATTGGGTGGGTTGGGGTGAGCTTAGAAAGTTCAGTTACTTGTTTGCTAGGGAGTTAAAAGTTGTGCCACTGTCACCTGAGCTGGCATCAAGTTACCTGGGTCCAGGTTTCACTTGAAAGGAGGTAAAGCTGAGCCTGCTCCTGGGCCTCCATCTGCCTGGGGCCTGGGTGAGTCCTGTGGATGTCTGAGGGGACACCACTGTCTAGGAAAAGGCTGGATACCTTTAAGTTAGCTGATTTTGGGAGTCGGAATGAGAGTTAGTGTGTCCCTAGAGACTGAGGGGTAAGTGTGCTCCTCACTTTGGAGTGAAAATCAGCAGGTCCCAGAGCCAGGGCTATGGGGAATGGGGTAAAGGTGGAGTCAGCAGTCCCTCCAGAGAGAGGAACTAGGCTGCAGCTGGGATCTCCAAGGGGCTGGGTCTGGGACCAAAGTATTCTCACTGACTCTATCCCTAGGCCCCCAACTATGGCCCTGCCCCCATCTCTGGACCCTGGACCCCACTCAGAGCCCCTCAATCATCCCCCTGGAGCCCCTAGAGAACTGGACATTGCTGAACCCACCGTCTGCCCTTCTGAAGAGGAAAGACTCAGGTAGGAGCTGGGGCTTTTGAAACTTGGGTCCTAAAGGGGTGACGGCAGTAGCAGGGGCACTTTGAGGGTAAGAGGTACTGTGGCTCTGATCACCTGGGGATGTGGGAAAGGAAGCTGGGGATGGGTAGGCTAGAGTGGATAATGGGCACCTAGGTTCACCCAAGGGTCTGCCAATGCCTCCTACCTCCCAGGCCAGAGCAAGCCCAGACACTGGGGCAGGGCTCTTTGGATCCTTCTGAGCACTTACAGGGTGGGCTGAAGAACACTGAGCCTACATCTGGTCACCCCAGATTGCCAACGCCTTCTTCCCATGAGGACGCCACTGGGGGCAAACACCGTGAGGTGAGCTGCGGTAACCCAGGCCCCTTGTGCCCCCACCTCCTCTCTTTCCCCTAGAATCTAGCCTCCACACGGGGATGAATTGATGATTCTGGAAAAGTGTTGGGCACCTGTGGAGGGAGGGACACTCTATAAATGATTCTTTGTCAATCATTATAGAAATATTTTAAACTGAGAGAGAATTATTTCATGATTGGCCCTGGTGCAGCCTCATTCCTTGTAGGGGTATCCAGCTCCATCACCCCCTCCCAGTAGATGCACTGCTGGTGTTCAGTGAGGGGCTGGCATAGCAGAGTGACCCTCAGACCTCCAGGTCCTGCATGTCCCAAGTTTCTAGGAGCTTTGAAAACCTTGAGACTTTGAACTAGAAGTCCCCAGGCCTTCCACTGGAAAGGACTCAAGGTGGGAGCAGCCCTGGTGCAGAGCCAGAGATGGACTCTGCTTCAGAGAAGCATCCAGAAAGGAGGAGTCTGCAAAAGAGGGGTGGCAATGAGAGTGGGGACAAGGTTTTGGTTGGCCCATTGGCACTGACTCAGCCCTTTGTGTTTCCCAGAGCCCTATCTCTGGCTGGGAGGTATTGGAGGCTGAGCAGGACCGCCTGCACCTTTGCCTATTGGGCCTGGGTCTTCGGCTGCAGGACCTAGAGCGAGGCCTGGGGCCCTGGACATTGGCCCAGAATGGGATGGTCCAGCTGCAGGTGGGCAATGGGAGGCCAAGGTATGGGAAGGTGGGCAGGGCCTCAGGAGGGGTACCAGCTCCCTTGGGTGAAAGATGGGTTTACTCCATGTTCTAGGTATCTGGGTAGGAAGGGGCCATGTAATTCCAGGTCCCAGGTTTCTGGTTCCCCTGGTGTATATGGGGATGGTGGTGGTGTCCAACCATGTGTTCCCAGACCCTACAGGCAGACCTACGTGGGACAGCTGAGCGTGTAGATGCACTGCTGGCGTTCAGTGAGGGGCTGGCACAGCGGAGTGAGCCTCAGGCCTGGGCATCCCTGCAGCAGGTCCTGAGGGCCCTTGGAGCCCACCTAGACAGCATCTTCTGGCGGTTGTGGCGGCTGCAGGCCCAGCTGGTCAGCTATAGTCTGGTATGGCCCAACCTGGTGATCCCCAGTCCTGGTGCCAATTTCACAACCCCCATGACCTCTGTCCTCTGACCAGGTATTCAAGGAGGCCAACACACTGGACCAGGATTTGGAGATTGAGGCGGATTCAGACTGTCCAGGACCTGGTGGGATCTGGGGCCCCTGGGAACCCAGTAGTCTCCCCACTCCTGCAGAGTTAGAGTGGGACCCAGCAGGGGACATTGGGGGCTTCGGGCCCTTGGGACAAAAGACAGCCTGGACACCAGGGGCTCCCTGTGAGCTGTGTGGCCACAGGGGCCCTCAAAGCAGGGGACAAGGCCTTGAGGTGAGAGCAGGTGGGGGACATCCCCACCCGGGCACCCACAGGACACCTCTGTGCACCTCCTAGCAGGGTCCTTCCCTTCCAGGGCGATCTTGGTTCTGCCTCTCCCTCTGCCTCTCTCTGTATCTTTCTCTCTTGGCGTGTCAGTGCTTTTCTCCCTCCCTCCCTCTGTCTCTTGGTTTCTGTATCTTCTCTGTCTTATTCTTTCTGTTTTTCTTTCTCATCCATCTATATGTACATTTCCTTGTTTCCTCTCACTCTCCCCCTTGCTCAATCCGCTACAGCCACACTAGCTTCTTGGCTCTTCTTTAAACATTCCAAATTCACTCCCATCTCAAAGCCCCAAGATGCATGCCCAGCTTGCCTCCTACCTTCATTCCAGTCTCCCCTCAAGTGTCACCTCTTCAGAGAGGCCTGCTCTGGCCTCCAAATATTATCCTTATCCTCTTACTTTATTTTCTAATGGCACTTACCACATCTTGACATTATACAGACTTTGCCTGTTTCCATTGCCACTGTGTCCCCAGCTCCTTGAACACTGCCTGGCATGTAATAGACACTCATTAAATATTAGTTGAGTGAATGAATGAATAATGTTTCTCCTCTCAGGTTCTTTGGCTCTGCCCTGCTCTTTGTGTCTTCCCAAGATCCTTCTCTTCCCCCAGCATCACATCTCTGTGACACCCTCTATCTTGGCCCTTCCCCAATCTTGTGTCTGTCACTGGTTGTCCCAGGACCTCACAACTCTGTCTCTCCACAGGACATATTCATGTTGGGTCTCAGCCACCGGAAACACTTAGTATGTCACCAAAGACGCTCCCTGCTCCAGAAGTCTCAGGTCAGCTGGTCCTCAGTTAGGTATATCAATTTGGGCAAGTGACCCAAATTGAATTACACAAAAGAGGGGATGCAATTTTTTCATATTACTGAAAAGTCCAGGTACTGTTGAATTCAGGACCTCTAATGCTATCAGGGCTCAGACCCTTGCTCTTGAGATTCTACTTCCCCAAGGCGGATTCCTTCTCAGCAAAATGGCTGCCCCAGTAGCTACATACTTTCTACTGGTTACCCACCCAAGAGGAGAATGCCGCTAACTTACTAGCAGCCAAGTCCCAGGGCTGATTCCACTCCCCATGGGTCCTGAACCAATCACAGTGGCCAACCTGATGGAAGGCTCTGATAGGCCATATCTGGGTCATATGTCTAATCATGGAAGTGGAGGTGTACTGTTAGGAAAGTGGGGAAGTCTGACACTCCCTGCACATCAAATTGAGCCCCTGTTACCAGGAAAAGGGGAATTGGTTGGAGGACAGCCACGGAAAGACATCCACTATACTTAGAGATATTCCAAGCCCATGAGGGGCCCTGGGGAGGAAGGGGGTGCCAGGAATGGAGGAGAAATAAGCTCAGCCCTGTAGGTCTATGATAATAAGGGAAAGTCCACACTAAGTGTCCCTTCCATGTATTCTGCTTCTGGTTACTATCTACCCTTAGGACAAGAAGAGTCAAGCATCTTCCAATCTCCAGGATGTGATGCTGGAGGTAGATTCTGGGTGAGATGCCTGGGAGATGGGTCTGGGGGTGTAGGGAGACAGGGCTCATGATGGCAGCCCACTGTATATTTAACACTGCATTTTCCTTTACAGAGCTCCTACTCCTGTATCCAAGTGGCCCTTGACCTTCTTCCTTCTTCTCTTCCTTCTCTTGGTGGGTTTCACATTGCTCCTGCCCCAGTCAGGGAGCCCCTGCTGTTCTCCTGCCCGACTGGCCAGGACACCTTACTTGGTGCTCAACTATGTCAATGGCCCCCCCCCAATCTGAGTACACAGTCCAGACATATGTAATAAATGGTCACTTGTCAAAGGATGTGTTTTAGTCCATTTGGGCTGCTGTAACAAAATAACAGACTGCATGGCTTATAAACAATAGAAATTTATTTCTCACAGTTCTGTAGGCTGAAAAGTCCAAGATCAAGGCATTGACAGATTCAGTATCTGGTGAGGACCTACTTCCTGGTTCATAGATGGCTGTCTTCTTGCTGTGTCCCCACATGGCAGAAGGAGCAGGGAGCTCTTGGGTTTCAAGAGATTAAGGGCAATAATCATTTCCATGAGGGCTGTATCCTCAGACCTTATCTCCTCCTAAAGGCCTCACCCCCTAACCATCACATAGTGGGTTAGGATTTCAACGTACATATTTTAAAGGGATACAAACATCAGTCTATTGCAGAATGTGTAGATATTGGGTGCTTGAGTACTCAGAATCTAGGATACAGCCCTGATATATCTGGACAGCCCTCTCCACAGATTTCTTTGCCTTGAGCACAGAATGCAGAACTGAATCAGCCCATTAGATCCTGAGACAAAGATGCAAGCACAGGCCATATCTGGGTCATATGTCTAATCATGGAAGTGGAGGTGTACTGTTAGGAAAGTGGGGAAGTCTGACACTCCCTGCACACCAAATTGAGCCCCTGTTACCAGGAAAAGGGGAATTGGTTGGAGGACAGCCACGGGAAGACATCCACTATACTTAGAGATATTCCAAGCCCATGAGGGGCCCTAGGGAGGAAGGGGGTGCCAGGAATGGAGGAGAAATAAGCTCAGCCCTGTAGGTCTATGATAATAAGGGAAAGTCCACACTAAGTGTCCCTTCCATGTATTCTGCTTCTGGTTACTATCTACCCTTAGGACAAGAAGAGTCAAGCATCTTCCAATCTCCAGGATGTGATGCTGGAGGTAGTTTTTTTAGGAGGTGATCCTAGGCAGTTTGGTAGGGGTCTGAGGAAGTGAGCCAGGGAAGGGAGCGCTGAGCTGGTTGCTGCTTTGGGAACTGGGAGCCATCTCACTAGTGACCTGTAGGAGACTGTGTAGAACACATTCAAAGTTATTCTACCCAAGAGTCAAATTGGCATTTATGTAAACAGCTCCCATCTCTCATTCCTTCCTGAAGTTGTCAACTCCCCAGAACTTCCAGCTTCTCCTGTCTTTAAAGAACCCTCAGGCAGAGAAGCACAGGTGCTTTCCACAGGAAGCTAGAAGTATGTACAGAAAAGGTGCAGGTGGTAAGCAGGCTGCACCTGCTGTAGCCTCTGACCTGCATCTATACACGTGTTTGGTTCAAACATTCTACATTGTGGGCTCCCAGGCTGGCCATCACTGGTGCAGGGTGTGAAACTTCTTCCATGAGTCATGATGACAACCAAGTGGAGTTTCCAGGGCTCAGTCCTGGAGGCCAGTACCCAGCGCCAGGTGTCTAAGATCATCCACTTCCCAGAGCTTAAAGAGTTGGGACAAGAGGTGGAACAGAATCAGACTCAAGAACAGAGCCTTGTGCTAGGCTCCTGGATGTGCATTTAGATCTCTTCTTTAATCCTCACAGCCACCAAATGATATGTCCCCAGTTAACAGAACGGGAAATGGCCTCTAGTGGGGAAGTCACTGAGGACACACAGGGAGCAAGTGACTGAAGCCTAGTCACCACTGATTTAAACAGAAATGGGATTTATTTTTGTGGGTAACTGAAAAGTTAGGGACTGAAAAAACAGCTGGGTCCGGGGGCTCAAATGATAGCTCCATTTCTCAATTCCTTCCTCTGATCTGACTTCATTATTATCTCGTGGTGGCCAGAGTATCCCTTAAAACCTCCAAGCGTTCATCCCACCAATTTGGTAGCCAATAGGAGAGTCATTCTTCCCTTACAGTTCCAAAGTCCCAAGGCTGTCTCCTTTGGCTAGTCACCTGCTTTCCTGTGGGCTGCAGTCAGCCCTGCCTGAAATGTGTACTGAAATAGAGGAAGGAGTGGATCTCCAAAGAAGATGAAGCGCTTACCTGAAGGGGGGATGGACACTGAAGGAGGAGGATAAGGAAGCAGCAGATTCTGGGAGACTCCAGGTTCAGGGGTAAGTCAGGATGCAAGTCTGGGTCTGCCCTGTTTCAAATGCCAGGCCAAGTCTCTGTACCCAACCAAGGAGGAGGCAGTCTCCCTGGAGCCACCATAAATAGGGTGGGCAGAGTTTGGGCAATATTGACCCTACTGATCGGGTAATGGAGCAAATGTGTCATTCATCCATTCGTTCATTTAATATTGACTGTTTCCAGTAAGCCAGGTCCTGTTCAAAGAATAGGGCAATGACAGTGAATTCAGAGGCTAAAATTCTTGACCTTGGTGGGGCTGATTTCTACAGGGGAGATTAATGGTAAATAAAAGCAACAGATGAAATATGTAATATGTCAGATGGTGATAAGTGCTAAGAAGAAAAACTAAAGTGGGCAAAGGGAAAGGAGGTACAATTTTGGGTGGTTGAGGGAGGTAGCAGGGAGATAATTACGTCATTATAGCAAACTATAGTGAGGGAACAAGCCACATGGACTCCTAGAGTAGTGCTGTCTAATCCTATATCAGTGATAGTGAGCCTTTTGAGCTCGGCGTGTCAGCATTGTGAAAAACCCTAACTTAACTCTGGTGCCGTGTCACATAATGAAATTTTTTGATATTTGCAACCATAGTAAAACAAAGATTTATATTTTTTATATTTATTTTATATATTTAAATGCCATTTAACAAAGAAAAATCAACCAAAAAAATGAGTTCGCGTGTCACCTCTGACACACGTGTCATAGGTTCGCCATTACTGTCCTATATAATAAAAGGCAAATATGCAAATAGACTGAATGCAGAACAACTGAACCGATTGCTATGATGTACACTATGTACATCATTGCTATGATGACCACCAGGGGGTGTATGGAACATGGTGGGCATGGGCAGCAGGTGGCAGAGCGCAGAACATGGCGGGTGTTGGCTGTGGCGGGATGGTGGAGCAGGTGAGCAGGAGCACCAGACCAAGGTGGGGCACCGGTCACTGTCATCGGGGTGAGCCTCTGGTGGTTACTGAAAATTCTTTGCTCCCATGCGCCACGGTCCCGCCTGGTGCTCCCACCTGCTGCCAGTGCTGGTCCTGCTCACACCCGCTGCCGGCACTGGAGCCTCCATTCGCACCCACTGCCAGGACCAGCCCCGCTCACACCCACAGTGTCACCAGTCCTGATCGCTCAGCACCGTCAGCCGGTGTGAGCAGCGGGTGTGAGCGGCGGGTGCGAGCAGCGGCTGCCAGCCCCAATTGCTCCTGAGGACTTCACCTCCCCCTGCTCCTGAGTGGGGATCGGGGCCAGCAGCTGCTGCTTGCACTTGCTGATGGCGCTGGTCCCAATCGCTCTGCGCTGTCAGCGTGTGGGAGCTGCAGCAGCCAGAGGGGGGCTGCTGGCAGACAGGGGACCAGGGCTGGGCCAGGTGGGAGGGGCCAGGCGGGGGGTGCAGAGGATGGGCTGAGACCCGCCCCTGTGCCCACCACAGTCTCGTGGCCCACAGTTCCTTTCAAGATGCACAAATTGGTGCACTGGGCCCCTAGTATATAATAAAAGGCTAATATGCATATCGACCGAACGGCAGAATGACTGGTCGCTATGATGTGCACTGACCACCAGGGGGCAGATGCTCAATGCAGGAGCTGCCCACTGGTGATCAGTGTGCTCCCACACTGAGCCATGCTCATGGCTGGTGAGTGCAGAGGCGGTGGTGGGAGCCTCTCCCACCTGCGCAGCAATGCTAAGGATGTCTGACTGCTGCCTAAATCGTCAGTTGGATATCCCCTGAGGGCTCCTGGACTGCGCCCTCCCCTCCCCCAAGTGCACGAATTTCATGCATGGGGCCTCTAGTAGAAATATAAAGCGAGGCATAAAAATAATTTAAAGTTTTCTAGTAATCACTGTTAAATAATAGAAACAGGTGAAAATTAACTTTAATAATTTATACTTTAACCCAATATATACAAAACATCAATTCAATGTGTAATGAATATAAAAATACATGAGGATTTATAATCCATTTTTCTTACTATCTTTGAAATCTGGTGTGTATTTCACTCTTTATATAGCACATCTCAATTCAGACACTTAATTTCCAACAGATTAAATAAAATGTAGTCCTACCCAAAGAGGTTGTATTTAATGGAATATTTTACATGGCTTCTCTTTTAAATTTTTAAATTACTTAAAATTTTTAAAAAATTAAAAATTCCTCAATCACAAGTATCTCTCAGCTACCATCCTGGACAGTGCAGACCTAGAGGAAAAGCATTCCAGGTAAAGGAAACAGTAAGTGCAAAGGCCCACAGGTAGGAGTGTGCTTGGCACATGGCAAGGCTAGTGTGGCTGAAGTGTGAGTGCTGGAGGGGGAGAGTGGGAGGAGTTGAGGTAAGAGAGAGGTTATGGGGCCAAATCAGGTGAAGCCTTGTGGACCACAGTGAGGACTTCCAGTCTGAGTGAGATGGGCGTCATAGGAGTTTGTTTCGTTTTTTCAACTTTCATTCTGGTACTTTTTGAACTTGTACAAAAAAATAAGGAACAGCATTACAGGTCCTTGTGGACTCTTCACCAGCTATAATCATTACCAACTCAGGGCCAATCCCTTTAATCCTCCCAGGTGCCCACTCTCCTTTCCTAAATTCTTCTGAAGCTTTACCAACAATTCAGGAAGCGTCTCCAGATCAGGATTCTGTTTTAAAATTTAGTCACAATTCTTTTATTACCATAAAGAAAATTCTAGTCATTCCTTCACATCATTAACACTGGATGTTGCTGTTTGAGGGTACTGAGCAGGAGTGGTAGGAACTGTCTTCTTTAGGGACTGTGAGTTTCCCAGAATTCCCAAAGGCCCCACTGGACCACCTCATGCATCTGGCTTGGACCCTTGGGACAGCTGAGTTTGTGACCTAAGACAAGAACATATTCTAGTAACCTGTCATTCCCAATAGGATGAAAATCAGAATCTGCCAGGGAAACCAGATGTTATTTTTTCAAAGGTCAAAAATACATAACTTTAATTTATTACTTATTTATTGTTAATCCTCACCCAAGGATATTTTTCCATTTATTTTTAGAGAGAGTGGAAGGAGGGAGGAAAGGGGGAGAGAACATCAATGTGAGAGAGACACATCGATTGCTTGCCTCCCACACCTGCCCCAACAACAGGGGCCAGGGATAAACCTGCAACCCAGGTATATGCCCTTGACTGGGAATCAAACCATGACCTTTCAGTGCTCAGGCTGATGCTTAACCACTGAGAACACCAGCCAGGGCTATTTAAACTAGTACAACAAACTCCCATATATCCTTTACCCAGATTCACCAATTGTTAACATTTTGCCCCATGTACTTCACTACCCACCCTCTCACTAACATGTTTACATATGTGCATATATAGGGTGTCCCCCAAAATGTATGTACACTTTGAATAAAGGCAGTGTTTATTAAAATACATTTCATTTTCAAAATTGAGCTATCAGCTGTAAAGTGTATACATTTTTTTGAGGACACTCTCTATTTTGGAACCATTTGAGAGTAAGTTGTAGACATGATACTGTTTGCTCCTGAATATTTCAGTGTGCAGTTCTTAAGAATAAAGGCATTCTCATACTCAGCTAGAGTGCAGTCATCAAAATTGGAAAATTTAACAACTCAATTCAGTTTTGTTTTTTTTAATCCTCACCCCAGGATATTTTCCACTGATTTTTTTTTTTAGAGAGTGGAAATGGGAGAGAGAAAAAAAACCCCACTGATGTGAGAGACACATCATTGGTTGCACGGGGACTGAGCCTGCAACTGAGGTACATGCCTTTGACTGGACTGGAACTCGGGACCCTTAAGTCCATGAGCCAACACTCTATCCACTGAGCCAAACCGGCCAGGGTGATTCAGTTCTATTATTAACCCATAATCCATATTCCAAATTATTCCAAAATTTCTAGTAGTCACAAACAGTAGAAACAGGTGAAATTAATTTTAATATTAATTTTTTAATATTGCTGTAAAATCTTAGATCAGGAGATTCTTATTTAACAAGGGGTTGAGAAGCAACTGACCCTGTGCCTTAGCAGAGTAAAAAACACAGCAGCAGCCCTAACCAGCTGCTCCATGGTTAGAGCATTGGCTTGCATACTGAAGGTCACGTACCTCATTTGCAGGCTCTATCCTCGTCCACGGTTGGGGCCCATGCAGGAGGCAACCAACCAATGTTTCTCTCTCACATTGATGTTTCTCTCTGTCTCTCCCCGTCCCTTCCACTCTCTCTAAATATCAACGGAAACATTATCCTCAGGTGAGGATTAACAAAACAACAAAAACCATAGCAGACACAGAGTATCAACTGTGGGCTTTACACACAGCACAAGGAGCCAAGGACTTGGGTGAGGTGCTTTATTTAGGACTTGATTCCAGGAGGCAGGAGGCAGGGAGTGGGGAGAGTGAGACAGGTAAGGGGGTAAGCCAGAAAAGGTGCCTATGGAGTGGTAGCCACTGTGGGAAACTGGGGTGGGGGAGGGGTGGTTCTTCTGAGGATCCTATAGAGCAGTGATTCCCAAAGTGGGCGCTACCGCCCCCTGGTGGGCGCTGCAGCGATCCAGGGGGGCGGTGATGGCCACAGGTGCATTTGTTTTAACTTTTTTTGTATTACCTTTCTATTCTGAGTTCAATAAATAGTTTCATAATTTCAAACTTGAATGTTTCTAATTTACACCTTTCTCTACTATATTTTACGAAAAAGGTAGGAACATTAATACATATATCTTTCTGTTTAATTGCTATTAAAATTTTAAAAAAATTAATTTCCAGGGGGCGCTGAGTAATATTTTTTCTGGAAAGGGGGCGGTAGGCCAAATAAGTTTGGGAGCCACTGCTATAGAATGCTTGTTGCACTCTCTGGACCAGACAACCGGAAGGCTGGGGCACTCATCCAGTGACTGATATCCACCATAGGCTGAGAGCATTAGCTCACCTTCCATAACTCTCAGAAAGCTCTCAGCAGAGGAGCAGAGATGCCAGGGCTCAGGGCCAGAAACTGAAAGCCTCCCTTTTCAGCTGTAAGTGAACTGAAGTAGGCAAGAGGGTCCTGAGGTTGGATAACATCATCTGACACAAGATGTACTTAATTCACTATATCATCACAAAAGTCACATGAGAGAGGCACTATTATGATGTCCATTTCACAGATAAGGATGTTGAGGCACAGAGGTTAAATCACTTGCCCACAATCATGTAATCCATGTTGGAACTGGGGTTCAAATCTAGGCATTCCAGTTCTGGAGTGCAAGCTCTTTAAAAATCTTTTTATTTATTTATTTTATTTTATTGATTTCATGGAGAGGGAGAGGGAGAAAGGAAAAGAAACATCAATGATGAGAGAGAATCATTGATTGGCTGCCTCCTGCAAGCCCCACACTAGGGATTGAACCCACAACCCAGGCATGTGTCGTGACCTCCCAGTTCATAAGCTAATGCTCAACCAGAGCCATGCTGGCCAAGTGGGAGTGCAAGCTCTCAATCACCACTCACCTCCAACCTCAAACCAGGCATTCCCCTTCCTTATCCTCTCTACCAAGCAAACTCTGTTCATCTGCAATAGCCCAGTGAATGTCTCCTCTCATGATCCGGGAGCCCAGCCCCAGTGGAAACTCGCTCATCGCCTGCAGTGCTGCCAGAAGCTCCCATCCTGAAGCTTGTTAGGTCACAAGATCTGGACCAGGAGTGAGCAAGAGGGAAAGATGGCAGATGCAGAGGAGACAATAGAGGCTGGATGGGTCGGACTCTATCAGCCGCTTTGACTTTTGCTTTTACTGAGATGGAGCCAGGGCAGGACTAACAGGACCACCCCGATGAAAAACACTGAGGCTAAGATAGATAAACAAGGTGACAAAGGGCCTGAGAGAGGTTAGGTGAATATTAACCAGAGACAAAGCAGAACTAGAAGTCAAACAGCCTGTGCCCTGGGGCACCCCAGGTCTCACCTGGGACCCTGCATTTCTCCCCTTTATCTCCTCTAGCCTATCCTTGCCTTCTGGTAGAGTCCTTATAATTCTTCAAATTTCAACCCCACTTTATAACTATTGGGTACCCACTGGGATTAGGGAAGAGACTTTCTCTTCTGTCCATCTTCCTATTGGTTTGAGGTCTGGGTTCCTTTCCTAAGGTCCTCCCCCTCCTTTCAACTGCATCTACTAAGAATTCATCTGCTTCCCACTGAGCTGGGTGCAAACACATCTCAGGATTGCAAAATGCAGTACCCCAAAGAATGTCTAAAGTAAGCCCATACTGGGACATGGGAGAGGTTCTGCCTGTGGCCTATGGTTCCATCTCTCCTCCCCAAACCCTGGGTCTTGCTGACAAACATCCAAATTTGTCCTGAGGCTGGACTCCTCAATCAGGCTTAAGACCCCTCACTATTGCCTCAGTGGTTACCAGCCAGACCTCAGCTCTACCATCGCTTCTCTTGCCTCCCTATTCTCCATTAAAGAGCCAACTGGGGCCAAAACCGGTTTGGCTCAGTGGATAGAGCGTCGGCCTGCGGACTGAAAGGTCCCAGGTTCGATTCTGGTCAAGGGCATGTACCTGGGTTGCCGGCACATCCCCAGTGGGAGATGTGCAGGAGGCAGCTGATCGATGTTTCTCTCTCATTGATGTTTCTAACTCTCTATCCCTCTCCCTTCCTCTCTGTAAAAAATCAATAAAATATATTTTTTTTAAAAAAAGAGCCAACTGGGGTCTCTCATGGATCTGCCCAGGAGAGAGATCAATGCTGTTTCAACCAGTCTGCCAGTCTACAGGGCTCCAGAGGGGAAGACAGCTCCCAACACCCATTCCTCCCAGAGAGTCACTTCTTGATGTGCCTCTTCAAAAATCCCCAAACACATAAAATCTTTAAGACCACCGACAGGAAGTAAGCACATCCCCAACTTTATTCCATTTGTTTGACAGTCCTGAGGGTGGAAGGGTGCAGGAGTCAGGGCTCGCCCTCAGAAACAGTAAGTGTAGAGGTCTTGAGGGGTCTTCAAATGATCAGCTGGGATGAGACCCTACTCCCTTCCTCCTAGTTCGCTGCCATTAGTGGGGAGAAAGTTTTCCAAAGGGCTTCTCTCCGTTGTCCACCAGGGCACCTTCTCAAATTCCTCAGCAAAAAAAATCTGCTGTTATCAGAATTAAATACAAAGGCGGGGGGCGGGGGGGGGGGGTGGTTCAGGAGCCAGAGGTGAAGAGAAGGGTGTTTCAGTTTCTTTCGGTCCAACGGGGGCGGGGGCGGGGGGGGGGGGGGTCCTGGCTCCCATGCCTTCTACTAAGTAGCTCTCAGCTTGACACAGTCCAGCCAGCGGGCGACGCAGCCCGCCCCAAGCTCTCATGAAGGAGTAAAAGTTACTACGAATCGTACAAGGGCAAGCATATCTTGCCATCCACCATGGTGGTCTTTAGACCCGACATCGCCAGGACGGCTCTCCGATTCCCCCATCCATCCAGCTAGTCTCTCAAGACCTCTCACCTCCCATCATGCGGGTTCCCTGGCCCCACCACACCGTTCCCCTGCTCCATCTGAGCTCTTCAGCCTGTCACCGTCCACCCGGCGGGGTCTCCGGTGACTCCATTCGAGAGGGTTCCTCGAATCGTCACTCTCCTCAGGCGGAGTCGTAGGGGCCCCCGCTTCGCCGGGCTCCTCGTTGGCGCCCTGCCGGCGCTCGAAGGCGTCCAAGGTCTTGGCGTGGCCCGAGCGTAGCAACTGGAGCTGGCGCCTCCCGCGGCGGTACAGGTATTCGATGCGCAGTACGTCGGAGCGCGGCAGGCAGGCGTGCTGCCGAAACTCGGCTCGCACCCGCGCCTCGGCCCCCGGCTTCCCGCGCCCGGCGCGCAGCAGTTCGCGGTACAGGCTAAGAACTTGCCTCTGCAATCGGCTGGGCCGGCTCATGGCAGAGCTGGGCCGCGGGCGCGCGCAGGCGACGGCCCAGAACAGCGGAGCAGCAACCCGGTTGGCAGGAACGCGGGCGCGAAGCACTGGGTACTTCCGGTCCGCTCACTAAAACCTCCGCCTCCAGCCTCCCGCTGTCCGGTGTTGTCGCGCCCCATTGGCTGCCGCTGCGGCTGCGTCACAACGTCGCGTGAAGGGGCGGAGCTCCTGGTTTGCCGGCCTGCCCCTTAGGCAATAGGTGTCCTTGAGGAGACTGCAGTTCTGAGAACCCGGAAGAGAAGGCGATTGGCGGCTGGGGTTCTGACCTAAACTCCTGGGTCCTGACGGAGGAGGGAGCTAGAGGTTAGGGCACTTGTCCGTCCCCTCTTCCAGGCGCGGGGGCACTGGGAGAGAGAAGACAGGCACTACCATTTTTTGGTCATCGTCATTGTAACAATCTCGGGAAGCTCCGTGCGTCGCTGGTCCCACCCCTGGGGACGTGCCGAGAAACGTGGTCACGCAGTTAAGTGTTGGGTCACGGAGGGCAAGGCAAGCTTCTCGGTGATAACGGGACGACAAGCAAAAAGGTGTTGGCTCCAGGCCGCCAAAGGCAGCCTGTGGCGCACAAGTTGGGATGACGGCATCCCCCGCCCGGAAGGACGGGGTCGACGGGTCGCGGGGCACTAGGAGGGTCCTCACCAGCTGTTGAAGCCCCAACACGCCTGGAGCACATCGACTAGGCTGGCACCCCAAAGTCCAGGGAGTGTCAGATCCTCCGCTGCAATTTCATTGTAGTCACGCAGGCTGCCAGGAGGCGCCCTGGTAGCTCGGGGGAGACCCGCAGGCCCCCAGCCCCCAGGGGCTCCAACACCACCCAGAGCGTGGGGGCCCCTCCATGGTAACTCTGGAGGCCTCCGCCCAGCGTGCAACCACAACCCCGCACCCGGGGCAGTTCACCTGCAGAGAGAGGAGGCGAGTTAGGGGCGGGGAATAGGCCGGGAGTTCGGGAGTCAAGGGGCGCTCAGAAACCACTGTGAATCCTGCTGGTGTCTCTATCAGAAATACATCTCAAGTCTTTGCAATCGGAATAAGATCTGGGATTTGCTTTAAAATCCCCCAGCATGACTAAAACAAAAAGAATGAGAGGAAAGATGGAAGCAAGAATGGTAAAATTTTTGTAACTATAACGGGGTTTCATAACACTATTCTCTCTTTTGTGATGCTTGAAAATTTCCCTAGTAAACACTTTCCTAAAAGGGAGCTTAAAAGGAAAAAAAAAAACCCGAAAAAACTCTGGATATTAATATAATATGATGCAATTGATATTTTAACAGAGTCTCACCTAATTTTTTATTTATGTAATGCATTTCTTTAAAAATAGTGAATATTTAAAATAGTTTAAGCTTTATTTTAAATGATATTAAGTCCTCACCAACACTCTGACAAGATAGATCTGCAGTACTATATGTGTACTATACTATATGCCTCTGCTGGATTTCCCATCCTCTCCTTGTCTGATTTCTCTCCATGAGCACTTAAACTGAAAGAAACTGAAGCCCAGAGAAATAACATAGCTTTGCTTGGGTTCACATGGCTGGTAAGTGGCAGACCAGGATTTGACCACAGGGGTTCTGATTTCATGACCTGTGTTTGTTTGTTTTTTAATATATTTTATTGATTTTTTACAGAGAGCAAGGGAGAGGGATAGAGAGTTAGAAACATCAATGAGAGAGAAACAGCCATCAGCTGCCTCCTGCACATCCCCCACTGGGGATGTGCCTGCAACCAAGGTACAGCCCTTGACTGGAATAGAACCTGGGCCCCTTTAGTCCGCAGGCCAATGCTTTATCCACTGAGCCAAACCGGTCAGGGCAATGACCTGTGTTCTTAACCACTCTGCTATATATACTGCCTCTTCAATAATCTTCTGTAATAATAAAAGCATAATATGCTAATTAGGTCAGACTTCCTTCCGGACAAAGCCAGGGCTTCGAGGGAAGCCCAGATCCCTGGTGCCAGAGGGAAGCTGGTGCCAGCAGCCTACTCTTGTATGAATTTCATGCATCGGGCCTCTAGTAATAATATAAAAGTGGCTGCAAGAGCTTAGACTTACTGAGCACTTATTATATGCCAAGCATGTATCCTTACAGCTACCCTATGTGGTGGGTACTATTTTTAAAAATATTTTTTTATTGATTTCAGGGAGGAAGGGAGGAGAAAGATAGAAACATCAGTGATGAGAGAGAATCATTAATCGGCTAGCCCCACCCTGGGGATTGAGCCCACAACCGGGGCATATTTCCTGACCAGGAATCAAACCATGACCTCCTGATTCATAGGTCGATGCTCAACCACTGAGCCACACTGGCTGGGTGGTGGGTACTATTATTACTATTTTTTGTGGATGAGCAAATAGGCACAGAGAGAAGTTGAGTCACTTGAGCAAGGTTACACTAGACATTTAAAAGACATAATCATGGGTCTCTTGACCCTTTAACCAAAGGCTCTGGCTTAGCTTACCTGCCAGTTTGTGGCAGATACCCTAGCTGTTCTCTTGCGGGCCCATCCTCCTATTCTTACAATTAGCCTTGAACCCACAGCTGGTTCTACCTCTCTTATGGCACTTGAGGTTTGTTTTTCTCTTATAAATACTACCCATTTGTCTGCCCAGATTCCAATTCTTCTGCTGCTCTCTGGCTCCCATGTTCCTTGGAGAGCCAGGTATCCTCCACCCTGGCATCTCTCTGCTGGATTTCCAACCCTCTCCTCTCCTTGTCTGGTTTCTTCCCATGAGCACTTAAACATCTCTGAGCTTCTCCCATCTCAAAATCATCATCATAATAAATCAGTTGTAAGATACCCTAACCCAGTGGTTGGCAACCGCAGCTCACGAGCCACATGCGGCTCTTTGGCCCTTTGAGTGTGGCTCTTCTACAAAATAAAGGGTGTCCCAAAATTCACGCAAGAAGTAATTTTGATAGAAAACACAGGTTTATAATTAAAAATTGTATTTTTTTTATTGATTCATAAAGTATACAGTACAGGGTTATGTTTGGAATAGCATATCGGGTAAATGGCCTCCACGGTGCCACATGCCATACAGCCCGAGAAACAATTCAATTACTGCATGAGTTATTTCCTGGTCGTGTAATTTCCCGTTTTGGTGATCAGAATTGGCCGCCTAGATCATGCGATTTAACGCCGTTGGACTTTTTTCTTTGGGGTTTTTTGAAGTCTAAGGTTTATGCCAACAAGCCCACAACCACCCACGCCTTGAAGGAGGAAATTGAGTGCTGTATCAACGAAATTCAGCCACATTTATGCAAAACGGTCATGGAAAATTTCAACAAAAGAGTGCGTATGTGCCAGCAAAGCTGTGGAGGCCATTTACCTGATATGCTATTCCATACATAACCCTATACTGTGTACTTTATGAATCAAAAAAAAATACAATTTTTAATTATAAACCTGTGTTTTCTATCAAAATTACTTCTTGTGTGAATTTTGGGACACCCTTTTTGAGGAAACAGGTGACCCATGGTGCTCAGCCAATGAGGAATCAGAGGAGGGACTGAGTAAATGGGCTGTGTTTGCTGCCCCAGGTGTGCCTGTACAACTGGGTGGACATCTGCTCTCGAGAGCATATTAAAAGTCTTGTTTTCGCCATACTTCTGTCTCTGCGTCTATTATTTGAATTTGGACAGGTGAGCATTTCTCACAACAGGAAGCACGGACTCATTGATTGTCCACTTACATTCTGATTAGAGAAAGCATATTTTGACTCGGCTGGGAGTTATATGCTCTGGAACAGGGGAGCTAACATCAGAATGCAGTCCATCCTTTTGTCTCGAGAACTGCCTATCATTATGGAAAGATTTACAACCTCATGGCTGAAACAATCTAGTCTTGGAGACACTGTTCTTTACAACCCTCAGCCCCCGTTGCCTGTAATCTGGTCCCGGGGCACCTGGAGGCACCCACCCTCTGTGACCATCCCCCCAGTCTGCATGGCTTGTAACCCATAATGATTGTCCTGTGCCTACTTTCCCATGCTTGTAATTCCTACTTTCCCATGTAATCTTTGTCCTATCAGTATAAGCAGTTGGCTTATGGGGAGAGGCAGAGTAGATTTTCATGGATGACCTGTCGCTCTCCCATACTGCTGGAAAAAAACACTCATATGTTTCAACCCTGTCTCTGCTTAATTGGCTCAAGTAGTGACAAGAAGCCCAAGATGCCTTGGTTGTCCAGTTACATAATTTAGCGACTCTGGTGGGACTCAAGCGGGGCATCTTCTTGGGTGGGTACTGGGGATCCTACTTGCTGCTTGGACTGGGTTCCTGGGGCTGATGCCTGGACTCTTATTTGCAGTGCTGCCAGAAATTTTCCTGTTTTGAGTCCTAGCCACCCCGTTGTCTCATCTAAAATCTAAGTTGAATCAAGCAGTCTAGTGTTCTGTAACAGGGGGAGTCAGTTGTCTGTTGCCCTCTGTCTGGGGTGAGCCTGATCAGCTCCTGGTTGCAAGCAGCCTCTCAAGGTCCTTGCCTGGTTATTCTGTCTGGCTGTGCAGGGTAAGGTCTGGCAATACATGGTAAGCCACAAACGATTGTCTGTCTGTTGTGTGAACTTGCAAATATTATATATTAGGGTGTTTTTCGCCTGGTGTAACTTTGCTTATAATAATTTTGCTTAAATTGTTCAAGGATGGGTGCTGGTGGCTCGATCTCCAAAAAAATACTCCATTGGGATGGATCTTGGGGTATTGGGCTACTAACGCTTATCTGCCAATGGGGAAAAAAAAAAGGAAAGGGTGTTTTACTGTCATACTGCTTGGTCTCACTCTTAAATAACCTCTTAACTGGGAACAAGAGGAGATTAGTATTTGGGAATGTACGGTGTGAAGCTCTTGTCTGTGGGTCGTGTGCACCTGTAAATATCGTATATGAGTGTCTCTGTTGATTGTTGTTTGATTTAATTGTTTAAAGATGGGGCATATCCCACTTTGCTGGGGAGGGGGGACAACAGATGCTTATAGCAGGCTGAACTCGTGGCCTTGATTGCAGGAACTTCTCAACAACTTCCCAGAGTTCTTAGTCTTGGGGACCCTACCTGCTCTCCTTCTCAAGCCATCAGCCATTGAAATGCTTAGTAAGAGTTTTGTCTGTCTGTAATGTAACTTTGGTTAAGGATGTGTTTTGCTTGCTTTCTTACCTTTTGGGAGCACTCAATTATTTACTTTAGGGGTTGTTTTTTTTTAATATATTTTATTGATTTT